ACAATAAATTAAAGTATTTGAATTCATAAATCATAGAAACTTGACAAATTTCCTTAAATCACTAGAAATTGGTGTGTATTACCATTTGATTTAGCCTGAGTTTAATATACAAAAAACTATTCCTCTCTTACTTTTTGACAGTTCTATGGCTTCTTACCTCAAGTTGATGCCATTTTTTTGAGATTTATTTAGAAGAAGTTAGCCATTTCTCTTTTCTATTCTGACATTACAGTTCACTCTTTTCATTCCTTCCCTGACAACTAATTTTCATAAAGAGATAGTTTCAGAGAGGGGAAGAGGTGGGGGAGGGGAGAATAAATTCTTGTAATGTAAAGCCTCTGACTCACCTACTTTCAATTCCAAGATTAAGGAGAAAATGTAAAAAAAGTAGAAAAATAAAACATTTATATCAGTCTGAAAGAAAGCCTAGTTTGGTTCTAAAGCCAGAGACCGGCATTCTTTATCCTGGCCCAGGCCCTCCTCATAGCACTATGGTGTTAATTTCTACAAATATTAAATAATTTTTTATTCCCATGTGAGTTGTTGCCGTTTCCAATTATCTGAAATAGAAATATGACTATCCACTCTCTGTAAGTTTTAGGAAAAGCACTGTTATAGTTGGGGTTTCTCTGCTTTGGTGAAGTGGTGACACAGAGTGTGGTGACCCAGAGCTAGCAATTAATGTAGCACCTTAATGTCTCTAAGATATGCTTAATCATTTGATTGTCACAACCTGGTGAGGTGGGTTCTATTATTATTTCCAGTTTCCAGATGAGGAAACGAGAGAAACAGAAAGGTTAAGTGACTTGCCCAGGGAGAAGAATAAATATCTATTAAGCAACTACTGTGTGCCAGGCACTGCACTAAGCACTTCATAAATATTATTTCATTTGATCCTCACAACAACTTATAAAAGTACGTACTGTTATTATCCCCATTTTGCAGTTGGGGAAACTGAGGCAGACAAGTTCAAGTGACTTGCTACATCACCTAGCTGCCCTAAGGCTTTGTGTAGAAATATGCCAGGGGCTTGCAATGAGAACTGCTTGCCACTCTGACACATCCTCCCCCACATACCCCCCACACACGTACACATATCTTGCAAGAACTTCTATAAGGAATTTCTACTGGGTTCATAGTGAATTCTGAGCCAGACATTAGTGAGATACTCATATGACAATCTAATACTGAAACAACCATGAAAGTATATAGCTTTTCTAACTATGATAATTTTAGATCCTGTTCTTCCTGAATGCTACTATTAGATCAGTCTTCCTTAAATTTTACTTTTGTCATGGTATACAGTGACATGTTCTTAAAAGAACCCTGGATTAGACGCTAGGCTACCTGAGTTCTATTCCCAAGGCTGCCATCAATGAGGCAAGTCACCTAACCTCTCCATACCTTGGTTTCTTCATCTTCAAAAGGACGGAGTTGGACTAGATAACCTTTCGAGTTCTAAAATTCTGTGAACCAGTTAGTAGGACAATAAGTATTAAGTATGTACTGTGTGCCAGGCGCTGTGCACTGTAGATACAAAGAAAGGAAAAAGACAGACCCTACTCTGAAGGAGCTCACAGTCTAATGGAGGAGACAACATGCAAACAACTATGTACAAACAAGCTGTATACAGGATCAGTTGGAGCTCAGCGATGAAGGAAAAGCACTAGAATTACAGGGGAATAGTAGACACTTCACGTAAAAGGTGGGATTTTAGCTAGGAATTGAAAGAAGTCAGGAAACAGAGATGAGGAGGGAGAGAATTTGAGGCAGGAGAGACAATCAATGAAAATACTCTGTAGATGTCTGTAGATGGAGTGTCTTGTGTGAGGGACAACAAGGAGGCCACTGTCCCTGGGTTACAGTGTACATGGTAGAGTGTAAAGTTCAGTTTGGACATGTTGAGTTTAAGATGTTTATAGGACATCCAGTTCAAGAGATTAATAGGCAGTAGGAGATGTGAGACTGGAGATCAGCAGAAAGGTTAGGACTGGATAATTAGATTTGAGAATCATCAGCATACAGAAGATAATTGAATCCATGGGAGCTGATGAGATCACTGAGTGAAATAGTATAGGGGAAGAAGAGCAGATGGCTCAGGACAGAGGCCTGTAAGACACTCTCAGTTAATGGGCATGAAACAGAAGAGGATCCAGCAGAGGGGACTAAGAACCAGGAGAGAACAGTGTCAGGAAAACAGAGAGATAAGTGAATATCCAGGAAAAGAGGGTGATCAACAATGTCAAAGGCTGCTGAGAGGTTATGAAGGATGAGGATTGAAAAAGGCCATTGCTAGAGCAGATAACAAGTTACATAAAGATTTTTAAGGAGAAAGAGACTTGGACGTGTGTGTAGGCAATAGGGAAGCAGCCAGGAGACAGGGATAAATTATAGATAAGTGAACGGAGTAGAGATGATAAAGAGGGCAGTTTGTTGGAGAAGATGGGCTGGAATGGAATGGAATTACTGTACATGTAGAGAGGTTTGCCTTGGCAAAGACACGGTTTACCTCTTGTGAGACAAGAGTGAAAGAAGAGATAGTCACTCCCCTACTCATTGATCTTCAGTGGTTCCCTGTTGCTTCTAGGATCAAATATAAACTCCTCTGATTAGTTTTTAAAGCCCTTCCTAACTTGGCCCTAACTTGCCTCTCTGATTTCTATACCTTACTCCTTTTCCTACCATAGACCAGCCATACTGACCTTCTTGCTTTTTATCACACATGATATTCTCCCTGTCTTGGCCCCTTTGACCCTTGACCTGTCTGGTTGTCCTTTGTACCTGGAATGCATGCCCTCTTTGCCTCTGCCTCTTGGAATCCCTTTTTTCTTTCAAAACAAGCAACACCTTCTACATGAACTTATGGGAGTTGAGAAGGTTGATGAACCAGGAAGCAAGGCTGTGAGGGAACATCAGCACATAGATTGAAATCCCTAAATACTGGGGTGGGAATTGTACAGGAAAGACAACTTCAAGCCAGCTTATTTAGCTACTGAGCTCTTTGAGAGTTTATTGGCTTGTTGAGAACACTAAGATCTCTGCATGGAGTGAAATATCCAAATAAAATGAGACTCAAAGAAAGAGAGGTTGCTGAATAATGGTGGCAGGCAGAGAGATTCTGAAAATAGCAAGAAATATGCCTGCCCTTCTGTGTCCCAGGGCAGGGGTGAGGAAGATAACGTCCAGTGTTGGAGGAGGAAGCTCAAAGTCCAGAGATGTTGCACGTCTTATTTGTTTTATCTCTAGCTCCTATGTGTTAAGACTATTAAAGTGTTCTTTCCACCATACTCGAGGTTATAGCTTCCTTCTCAGAAGCCTTCAGTAGTGCTCTGTTCTTTCTACAACAAAATAACAGTTGTAGAACTTGGTTGGGCATTTTTCCCTGTCCTGTTTCATATTACTCTACTCTTTCTACACCTGGATACATTTGCTTTTCACTTCTGCCTTTCAGAATCTGTCTCTTCTTCCAAGGCTCAGCTCTGGAACATTTTCATTTTCTTCCATTTAACCTTCGCTGGTCCCTTCCATCTAAAAATGATCTTTTCCTCCTCAAATTTTCCTGAAGTATTTTGGATTTCTCCTTTGAGAATTAAAACAAAAACAAAAACGATGAGGAGTAGTATATTCCAGGCCTGGGAGAGATAGCTAGCACAGTAGCATAGAGCAATGCCTTGTGCTTGAGAAATAGTAAATAGGTCACTGTAGTTGGATTATGGAGCGTATGAAGAGAGGTGAAAGCTAAGAAGGGACTAGGGAGACACTGGAATTCATTGAATGGTGGCAGTGACATGGTCAGACCTTCAGGAAGATCACTTTGGCAACTAAGTGAAGGGCAGATTGGAGTGGCAAGAAACTTGAGTCAAGGGGGACCAATTAGAAGGCTATTGCAGTAGTCCAGATAAGAATACATATGGACTTGGAGTAGAGGTGTGGCAGTGTAAGTGGAAATAAGGGGATATATGCATATATGCACGATACTGTGAAGTTAGAGATCACGACATATTTTAGCCTCAACAATCAAGTAAACCTGGGTTCAAGCCCTGGGTTCAGTTACTTCATATGGCATGTAGGGGCTTCTCATATCTCTACCATATTTTGCCAGTGAGGATTGGACAAGTCACTTAATGTTTCTGAGTCCCAAGAAGTTCCCTAAGAGAAAGGGAACACGCATTTGTTAAGCATCATTTGTGTGCTAGGCCCTAGGCTAAGCACTTTACAAATATCTCATTTGATCCTCACACCTCTGGGAGGTCAGTACTATTATTATCAACATTTTACAGATGAGGAAACTAAGGCATGCAAAAGTTAAGTGATTTGCATTGGGCCACACAGCTAGTACGTGTCTAAGGTTGGATACGAACTTAGATTTTCCTGATTCCAGGTCCAGTGCTCTACTCGGCCACTTAGCTGCCTCCTAAGTTACAAATTGTTACAAATGTACCAATCCTTTATGTAGTTGTTTTTGTGTCGACTCCCCAGTTGGTTTGTAAGTTCTTTAAGGACAGAAACTGTTTCTTTGTATCCTCCTGAGGGATATATTCATTGATACATGAATGATAATGGTGATACTCTTTATGTAAATATTCTTAACCAGTAAATTGGTAAATCTGGCCAAATGTTTATGCAAAGAAAGATAAAGGTTGTTATCACCATTTTATCAATTGACAAGCTAAGACAAGAATTGCAATTGCTTGGCGCGCATGCGCACACACACACATACACACTGTTATAGACTCCAGTAGTTGTCTTTTCTTTAGAGCAAATTATAATTTTGATAATAATAGATTTCTTATCATTTCTGTTAAATATTACAAGTAGTACTCTTTCTGTGTTCTTATCCCTTTCTTTTTCAACATAGCCTCCATTTTAGTTCTGTATTTTAACAGTCCCATGACCAAAGTCTATTTCAGATGTTTTGGTGGAGACGAGAGAAGGCCGTATTCTAAAGACAATTGTTCAAAGATACCAAATGTCGTATGATGTGTATTGTATATTCACAGACTGTTGCCTGCTCCCCTCAAGGATGCAGTGGAAGTTTCAACGTGGAGAAGGTGCTACACGACGCAAGAAGTGAACTCTGCTCTCAGTAAAATCCAGCTTGTGGGCTATTCTCAGAAAATTGTGAGTGCTAATTTGACTTCAGTGATTTATGGGCAGCTGAAATCCATAATGTTCTTCTGAAGCTATAAGAATCCTTTAGTTTCCCTTTCTTGAAGCCTCTAAATCCCCAGAGGCCCCACTCTGATGCATAAAAAGTGAATAGGTAGAGCACAACTTGACAGCTGGTGGATCATTTGTCACTTTCTCCTATCCTCCAAGGGCAGAACTCAAAGTTATTTGGTAGTAGCTTCCCCTTCCTGTAACTGTCCAATTTCTTAGTTGCATTAAGGGAGGAAATGGGCCTTTCCTGTCCCTGATACTCTTCCCTAGGACCTGCTCCTATTTGATTAGATGTAGAAGAGTATCCTTTCCTATCCCCCTCAGGGCAATGGGGATTTCCTTGGAAATTTTGGAAAAACAAATAGGAAGTATTGAGCATAACAGGAAGCACTGGAATAATCTGTCAGGCATTCCTTTGAATCAGTGACTCAGGTGACCACAGTCTTCCCCTATCTCTGCCAAACTTTGCCAAGAGTCATTCACTCATTATAGATTAGCTACCTAAACAAACCTTGAAGCAACATTTGAAAAGTATTGATATATCTTCCATCCTTTTAAAGGATCACTATTTTCATTCTTGTGCTCTTAGTCATCATGTGTATGGAAGATGCACATGAACTAGACCTAAAGGATATGTAAAAATGAAAATTTATACCTTTCAATGGTGACCCTGTGACCTTTACCATCTTTATGGCTAGTTTATTTTGAAATGTTTTCATTGTGAATGAGAGAAAATGTAGGTGCATATAGTATGGTTTTTAGCCTCAAAAATAATTTTATGTTGCTTTGCAGGAGCTTTTCGGTGCAGTGCAGGTGACTCCCCTTAGCTCTGGCTATGCACTTGGAAGTTCCAACTGGATTATTCAGTCGCATTATGAGAAGGTGTCCTATGTCTCTGGATCTTCCTTGCTTACTACACACCCCCAGGTATTTTCTCTCTTCCTTTTGAGAGCTCAATTGTTAAAGTTATTTAACCCTATAATTAATGACTTTGGTAGGCTACAGAGCACCAGCTGTATTCTATGAGCTCTTGTCATCTTCCAGTTGTACAGATGCTTTTTATGCAAGGCAGGCTGTTCTCATGTATCAAACTGGAACCAAACTTGGGCAGATATCGGCACTAAATAGCCCAAGTACATTCAGCAAAAGTATGAAAACAAAAATAGTATTTTTATCATATGCATTAATTATCCTCACAGTATATTTATATTTACAAAGGATTTGGTGTTTATTTTTATAACTATAGCTATATGAAGCACATACTGCATTGGGAGCTGAGATACTTAAAAGGAAGAGAGAGATTCTATTATTTTGGGTGGATCTTCCATGAAGGATTTAAGGAAATACATAGACAAAAATCAAAAAGGATAAAAAGACATAATCAGGGTACCCAAAATAAGGAGGAAAATATTAAGAGATTACTTTGCTACCATTGATGATTTCAAGTCATCAGGCACAGATGAATTATATCCAAGCATACTAAAAGAATTGGCGGGTGTAATTGCTCAGTCACTATCTGGACTAAAAGAGTTATCGTTAACGGTTCAGTGCCATTTTAGAAGGACTGGTCTAATGGATCGTAGTCTTCTTTATTCTTCTTAGCCTCCAATCCCATACCACCAACTATGTATTAGAGATTTCCAGCTGCATTTACCATTGAGATCTTAACTCCATCATGTCTAAAGGTAGCATATTATCTTCCTGTTCCCCTTCCCAAATTCACTCCTCTTCCTTGTTTTCCTGTTTCTATCAAGGGTACTACCATTCTTCCTCTTCCGCAACTCCCACATCCAGTTAATTATGAAGTCTTGACTATTCCACGTCTTTCATATATACCCCATTCTGTCTAGTCACACACAGCCATCCATGTAACTTCTCTGCTCAAAAAGCTACCATGACTTCTAGAATAAAGTACAAAATCTTTTATTTGGTATTTAAAGCCCTTCAGAATTTGGCTACAGCTTATACCTTTCCAGGTTGATTATCCATTACTCCCATTTACACACACTGTGTTCTGGCTAAACTGGCCTTCCCAGTGTTTCCCATGCACAACATGCCATCTCTCACCCCTGAACCTTTGCACAGACTTGTTCCTCCTCTGTGCCTGCAATGCACTGTCTCCTTTCCTCTGCCTCTTGGAATCCCTAACTTTTTTCAAATCTCAGTTCAAATGCCACTTTTTACTAACGTCCTTCTTATCCTCTCAAATGCTAGTATCTCCCTTAAAAATTACTTTGTATACATTTGGTGCTTTCTTATTTATATACATGTCATTTCTTCCCCAATAGAATTGTAAGCTCTTTGAGGGCAGAAACTGTTTTTTTTGTGTCTGTATCTGTAGTACCTAACACAATACCTGACATATAGTAGATGTTTAATAACTGCTTGTTGAATGAAACAATAATAATACTAATAATTAGCATTCAAATAACATATAATAAATATGAAGCACCTACTACGTCCCAGGAACTGTGCTAAGTGCTGGGAATACAAATAAGAAAAAGAAAGATAGTCCCAGTGCTCAAAGAGTTTACAATCTTTTTTCCCCAATTATTTTTTATTTATTTTGTTACATATTTCCCAATTATGTGTAAAAAATTTTTAACAATCATATTTTAGAATATTGAGTTCCAAGTTCTTTCCCACCCGTCCCTTCCTTGAGAAGGTAAGCGACTTGGTATTGATTATACATGTGAAGTTACGTAAAACATATTTCTATGTTAAACTTGTTGCAAAAGAAAACACAAAATAAAATAATAAAAATAAATTAAAAAAAAATACACTTCAGTCCATATCTAGAATTCATCAGTTCTCAAGGAGCTTACAATCTAGTGGAGAAAGAAAACAAACCAAATCCAAGCAATACAGCTGGTAGGAAATGAAGCATTGAGTGGCTTACTGAGGCCTCTTTATTAAATGGGGGCTATGGGAGTTTTTTGCTCCCACCTCCATGGGCAGAGATAACTGAAAGTACTGATGAGGTATGAGTATCAAAGATGATGCATTCTCCTTGATGACAAATTTCCTGGTGATGAGCTTATATAGTACTTAAAGGATTGCAAAGTACTTGACACATATTATCTCATTTCATCTTTGGATATATTTTTCCTTTTAGAAAGTTTTCAAGCAAAGATAACACCCAGCTTCATTAGCACCCTTCCTCAGTTTATCATGTTTTAGTGAATATTTCTGCAACGTTTTACAGTTGCTGCTGTTGACATCTGTTTTGAGAACTGCCAGTGCCTCCAGAAATCCAGACAATCCCTGCTAAAATGAAGTGGTCTAAAAAGAAGTGACAAAGGTTGCTGAGAGTTTGTCTGCAATTCTCAAAGGTGGTGTTTCTGATTCCAACATTGCAGTCTCTCTGGTGGCAAACAGTCCTTAATCTGCTCTAGAAAGGGCTTTGAAAGCCAGGCAGAAGAGGTTCAATTTCATGTGGTTGAAAACAACTAGCCTTTTAAGCTTTTATAGAAGGGGGGATTTATATACTGAAATTTGTACTTTCAGAAGGTAATTTGGGAGTAATATGCAATATGGATTGGTGGGGTTAAAGCCTAAGTACAAACCAGGTATAGGCGGCTGTTGAAGTAAGCTGGCATCATGTGAAAAGGATCCAGACTGGGGCAGTGGCAGTAACAGTGTAGAGAAAATTATTATATGTACTTCAATGGAAAAAGTATGAGAACTTGTTGACTAAGTATAAGAAAGAGAAAAATGAGTCAAAGATGAATAGGTGTATTGACAAAAAAGAGAAACATTGAGATAGAGATTATTAGGAAGAGAAGATGGTGAGTTTGGTTGTTCACTCTAATGTGATAATGAATAATCCAAATCAAAGTATATCATTGGCAAGTAAAGATAGTAATCTGGAGATTACTGTGAAAACAGACCTAAAACAATAGATTTTAGAGTCACCAGCATAGAGTTAATAGGTGAAGCCATGGAAAAGCTCTTGAGAAATTTTGTAAAGGCAGAACTGTATGTTGTGTAATGCCCCTAGTTAGGGAGGACGATAAGGTGATATCAATGGAAATGAAAGAATGGCTAGAATTGGAGAATCATCAGAAAAGCAGTGTTTATGGGCAGCCAGGTGGCACAATGGATAGAGCGCAGGCCCTGGAGTCAGGGAGACCTGGGTTCAAATTTGGCCTCAAACACTTAATAGCTGTGTGACCCTGGGCAACTCACTTAACCTTGTTTGTCTCAGTTTCCTCATCTGTAAAAAAGAACTGGAGAAGGAAATGGCAAACCACTGCAGTATCTTTGCCAAGAAAACCCCAAATGGGGTCACGAAGAGTCAGACACAACTGAAACAACTGAACAACAACAATAGCATTTACAGAAGCCAAGAGAAGAGTGCTGCAGGAAATTTACCAAATATTTATTAATTGCTTACTAGTCACTAGTAATACACATTGGGCAAGACTGATCTGTATTCATACAAATGGATACATTTCCATAGATGGATTGTTAATGCAGAAACCATTTTTCCATTTTTTTCCAGCTTATAGTAACTTCCCTCTCCAATCCATTCTCCACAGACACCAAAAAATGAAACAGCCCCTACCCTTGAAGACCATTCATTCTACTGGGGCTTTACAATGTGTAACACAGATAAATACAAAGTAGCATCACAGGATCATATATTTAAATCTGAAAGGGACTTTGGAGATCACTTAGTACAATCCCCATGTTTTAGATGAGGAAAATTAGGCCCAGAGATTTCTCCAGGGTCACAAAGGTAGTAAGAAGCAGCACTGGGATCTGAGTCCATGTCCTCTGACTACTAGGTCCAGCAAGAATTCAAAAGTAATTTCAGGAGGGAGAGGATGCTCATGATTTGGCAAATTGGGAATGGCCTCAAAGGAGATAGTATATAAGCTGTTCTTTAAAGGAAGCTAAGGATTCTGTGAAGCAGAGATGAAGAATGAGTGCATTGCACACATAGGGGACCACTTGTACAAAGTGATTGATGTGTATGGGGAATAGCTAGCTGGCCAGTTTTGCTGGAGTGTCAAACATGTGAAGGGTGGGGATATATGAAATAAGGCTGAAAAGGTAAATGGGAACCAGATTATAGAGACTTTAAATGCCAACCTGATATTTATAGCTGATCCTAGAGGAAATAGGGAGCCACTGAAGATTTTTTAGTAGGTAGGTGACATGGTCAGATCAGTGTTTTAGGAATATTAATTTGGTGGCTTTGTGGAGAATGTATTGGAGAGGGAAGTTACTATAAGCTGGAAAAAATGGAAAAATAGTTTCTGCATAACAACCCATCTATGGAAATGTATCCTCAGCTTTGCCCAAGCTAGAAGAAAATGAGGGATGACAGGCAGACAGCCAGAATATTCCACTAATGTTTGTGCAATAGCAGAATGAAATGAGGAAAGCTTCCCTATATTAGAAGGACTTCCCATGGCAATTATAAGGGAGAATGTACAAGTATTTCACCTTCTACAATGTCCTTAACAGTGCCTCAACATTTGGGGATTGATTGGTGCTGTGTTGTGATGAACTGTTAGGTAATTTTATGCAATGGTCCTGCACCTAAAAATAGATTTTCCTTTTCACATGGGTATTTCCATAAAATGTTCCTGTGTGAAGCCCTTGGTGAATGTTCATTTGATACCACTAATATGACCGTTTGCTTTTGGTGCTAGAGTGGAGAATTTGAAGTAACAGCTTGGTTTGGACAGTGGCATTAAAAGCCATTTTTTTGTAAGCCTCATTCTTTATATCAACACCGGAAATCAGATGTTTCAATGTTATGGAAGCTGAAATTATGCATGTCTGGTATGATCTAATCATATATGTTATCACCATGCAAGAAAGTGTTATTTTATCGCTGTCTTAGCATTTATCTCTTTATTCATTGCTTGCAGGCATTTAATTTTCATAGGAAGGTAATACTACAGGCTAAAACTGGGAAGGTTAATGTTGTTTTCAGGTTCCAAGTTTACCTCTTGTCATCTGTTTCCTGTCATAACAAGAGGTTTAGTGTTGTCATTTCTGTTCTTCCTTTGCCACTCACTCCATCGCCATTAGCTGATACTTTTTCACACCAGACTTCTCCTTTGCCTTCTTTTCCCTCTCTGTATGGTGTGGAAATATATGTTTAATGTATGTTATATACATATATATATGTATGCATGTTATATATATATATATAAATATATAAATATGATATAAATATATATTTAATGTTTATCTAGAGCCATAGGCCCATTTGTATATATACAGATCAGCCTTGCCCAAACAAGGCACTAATATGGTCATTTCAAAGCCTTATCTAGGGAACTTGGCTTCATTGGAACCAAGCATAAGAGAACCAGTCATACTGTCCTGAGAGTGATCTAGGTTCCTGCAATTGGCATCCATATTGGAGTTTGGCGCCTTACTACCAGGACTGAGACCAGTCAGTCACCACCATTTACCTCACACCACATATAGAAGGACTCTCGACACTCCAGTTTTAATGCTCAAGGAAATTATTCCACTTTTCAGCCATCCACATAAAGACAGAAGATGGGGAGAAAAGCATACTTTTGAAGGGACAACTTGTGTCAGAAATGTATTTGACAAAGTCTGTCATAATAACTTTGTATTTTTTATTTTTATTTATTTATTTAGGCAATTGGGGTTAAGTGACTTGCCCAGGGTCACACAGCTAGTAAGTGTCAAGTGTTTGGTCTGAGGCCGGATTTGAACTCAGGTCCTTCTGCCTTCAAGGCTGGTGCTGTATCCACTGCGCCACCTAGCGCAGCCCCCATAATAACTTTATAGAAAGATGGTAAGCAAAAACCTAGGAAAGTAGAATATAACAAAAGCCACAGAAAGTGAAAGATTTAAGAAGGGAAGGATATTATCAACGTCAGTATTACATTATTAAATGTGATAGAAGGGTCAAAGAGGATGAAGACTGAGAAAAGTCTCTTGGATTTGGTTGACCTTTGAGAGTGAAGACAAAAGTCATCTTGTAAGCATTGTAGGAGCAAGCAGATATTCAAGTAGTGGAGTAAGCAGGTGTCAACTGTTCTTGAGAACTTTGACAAGTATTCATTAAGTATCTACTATGTGTACGGCATTGTGCTAGGTGCCAGGTATAAAAAGACAAAAATGAAACAGTTCCTTCCCTCAGGAATGTTAAATTCTTTTGGGAAATTAAGCATGTGTGTATATAAGGATATACAAAATAATTACAATGCAATGAGAAGTGGGATGAAGAAAGGCTTCATGTGGGAGGCACTTGATTTGAGCGCTGAAAAATACTAGGGATATTAAGGAACTGATGGTAGGAGGAGAGGGAATTCCAAGGCCTGGGGGACAACAAATACAAAGACACAGAGATGGGAAATATGAAAAAAGTTAGCCAGTAGAATAAAGATTGACTTTGAAAAAGGAGGAGATGACTGGAGAAGCATTGGTCCTAATGTAGGCAAGAAGTAGGAGGTTAACCATGGAAAGGAAAAGAGCCTCCTCATTCTCTGAGACAAAATTGGCATTTTTATAGAGAATCCTATTTGCTAGGTCATCATTCTGCCTTTAGCATCCCTGAGATGGTTTTAAGCTGTTTCTCTTTTATTGGAACCTCTTTATCTCTTAACCTAACTTTTCTTTCTCTTTCTACTTCTTTTTTGCATGTAAAAAATTCTTTGTTAAAATCCCTTAATTTACTTTTCTTTGGTCTCTTTCAGCCCATGGACCAAGCCTCTCTCAAAAACAGTGATGTCCTCATTCTGACAGGACTCACCCAGATTCCAACAGCAAATCCTGATGGCATGGTAGGAGAATTTTGCAGCAATTTGGGTATGTAGCCATGAAAAAATCTCAGGATAGATGTTTTTAAATACTTGAAGGAATGAGCAAATGAAACATTTGTTAAACTCTTACTGTATCCAAAGCACTGCGCTAAGTACTAGAGGTACAAATGAAAAATGGAAGGGCTGAACTCCAAGTCAAATGGAAAATGCCCGTGGTTCTTAAGGTGCCAGCTGCAAACAGATGTTAATCCCTTTCTTTAATGTTATTTCCACTGATGAAATTGTAAGAGATGTTGAACCATTTGGTACTTCCAAGGACTTTAATCACAACTTTCTGTTCTGGGTCTTCAGTGGTTGGGGCTAAGGCCCCTGTAGGAGCAGTTGCTATGCTGCATTTCTGCAGAGGCTGCTTCCCAGGATGAGGTCTGTGGGCACTGGACCAGAGACATTGTTACCCCTCAAAGCTTGCCCCCCTCACTAACCTGGGCTGTCCCTGTCAAGGTGTAAGGGGAGATAGTTGTGATAGTGGTGGTTGTTTAGCTTGCCTGACATAACCACTGCCTCCTATCTCTCAGGGTGCCTCACTGCTTCAGCTGGGTTTCCTGTCCTGTGGGTGGCATTTGTTTGGCAGTTGGTGAGGATGACTTCTCTGAGTGATGAATCTGAGGACTGTACTAGAAGTAGTATAAATATACCTCTATAGTTAACTCCTTCCTCTTAGTCCAGTGTTTCCTGTATCATATCCTTTTGCATTTTGGAAAAGATATTTATCCACTGTACTTAATTCTGTCCTCTAGCCTTCATCTCCCCACCAGCCCAACTTGCTGGTCCAGACTACGGGTCTGGAGGTAGAATATTTAGCATTTTCTTTAACAAATTCTGCCATTGTTGTCCATTTGTATAAATAATAAAGAATTACTATTTATTCTTGTGGGAGGCTTTTTTAATTGGATTTGAGGGGTATAGAAGGTGGGGAATGAGAAGTCTGCTCTACAGGACTTTAGCAAACTGTAGCCTATGTGGAGTAATATTACGCCTGAAATCATGACAATAGTATATTTAAAGTGATTTTTTAAAAAATTGTGTGTGTGTGTGTGTGTGTGTGTGTGTGTGTGTGTCTGTGTCTGTGGTTTGAGTAACCAATAGAGCATTACATTGTATTTACTACCTAGAAGGAATTTGATTTTTTTTGTAACTAAAAAAAAAATCTATAAAACCTAACAGTATCTGATAGAGATATTAGGTTCGTTTCCAGAAAGTAAGCAGCCCAGATAGTTTATCCATTGGAACTTAGCAATATTACCTCTGGGAGGGGAATTGAAAATAAAATTCTGTTACATTTGCTTCTAAGTGCTTTCCAAAATTCCAATTATCCCCTCTAATCACTGTGGACCATGTAGCTCTTAGCCAGTACTTACCTAACAGAACAGGGAGGATGATATGTTCAGAACTTTGCTTTAGGAAAATCAGTTTGACATCTGAGTAGAGGATAGAATGGAGTGGGGAAAGACTTTAGTCAGGGAAATCAATCAGCAGGCTATTGCAGTAGTCCAGGAGGAGATAATGAGGACTTGGACAGGTGGCAGCATCAGAGAGAAGGGACCATCTATAGAGAGATGCAACATAGATAAAATTGACAGAACTTTACCATCAATTGGATTTGGGGAAATTAAAAAAGGGGGGCAAGTATGACTCCTAAGTTGTGAGCCTGAATGACTAGGAGGATGGGGGTGCCCTTACCAATAATAGGGAATTTAGGAAGAAGGAAGGGTACAGTGTGGGGGCTTGCAGTAAGAACAAATAAGGGTTGTTTTTTGGGGGGGGATTGAGGATGAGAGAGATATGGGCATGTTTGTAGGCAGCAAGGAAGAAACCAATAGATTGGGAGAGACTGAAGATAAGTGACAAAGTGAGGATGATGGAGGCAACGATCTGCTGGAGAAAACAGAATAAAATGGAGTCACTTGTGTGTGTAGATGTGTTTGTCTTGGAAAGGTAAAGGGTCACCTCTTCATTTGAGGTGTGAGTAATGGAGGAGATAGTGTAGAATGCATCTGAGTATTTGTGTGTGTGTGTGTGTGTGTGTGTGTGTGTGTGTGTATGATGACGAGGGGAGAAGAAGGAGCTCTTGGCAAACAGTTCCAGTTTGTTTTCCGCTGAGAGGGTGTGGGGAAGGGGAGCCATGAGAAGTTTCAGGAGGGATGAAGAGGTTTGGAAAACTGCTGTGGTATAGGATAGTGAGTCACTTAGGGAGGTATAAAAGGATTGCCTTGTAGTAGCAGTGTCCTAGTTAGACTTATATAACATAAATTTGTAATGTACCGGATCAGTATAATTTTATGATTTTCTCCAGCTTCATTCAGCAACATATTAGTAGGAGCGAAGACAATTGATGTTGAAAGTAATCCATCTCTGAAATTTGACAAGGTAAAATCAGCAATAGTATTAGGGGGCAAAGAAATAAGAACTAAGGAGTGGTGGGATTAGAGGTTATGGCAAGGGCAAAGAACAGGTTTTAGGGTTGCAAGGCAGAGGCAAAGATGAAATGACAACCAATTATGATCAGGTAAAATAATTTCAGAGTCCATGAACATGGAAGTGGAATATTTGTGGGTTACCATCTCTGAATATAGCTGAATGTGGAGAGGAAAAAGTCATGGGAAATGAGGAAATTGAGCAACTGGAAGGTTAGGGTGTTTGAAGGAGTATTAATATGTATGTTGAAGTCCCCTAATATGAAGGCAGGAATTAGGGAGGAGAGAAAGACTGTGAGCCAGGCACTGAACTCATTGAAGAAATAAACCAGACAGAGGAGTTGAACCTTACTAAGTTAGGCAACAGGAAACTGTTGTAATTATTGAACAAAGAAGTAACATGATATACTTCTTATATGCTATTTATTCTCTTTGCATATGTACAACTAGATGGTCATTTCTGGAGGGTATTGGTAACTTTTTCTTTCTTAGACCTTTTTTTTTTTCCTTTTTTAGCTTTAGCTTCCTCAGTCTTAGTAGGCACTCAACTACTTAATAAATGCATATTCTCTCCCGTCTACCCTTCTTCTTAATTATAACAATTCCAACCCAACTTTAGCGCCCTTTTCTCCTCCTACCCTACAAATCTAGTCACTTACCAAATCTTGTCATTTCTATCACTGCTTCTTCTCTTGCATCTCCCCTTCTCTCTACCCATATGGCCATCGTCCTAGTTCATATTTAGACCCACATCTCCTCTTACGTGGATTATTGTGATAATTTCCCAATTGGTTTCTCTACCTGAAGTTTTTTTCCCTTCTGCAACCCCTCCTACACATAGCTGCCAAAGTGATTTTCCTAAAGTTCAGGTCTGGCCACATCACTCCTCTTAAATTCAGTGATTCCCTGTCAGAATGGATTGTATTTATGCAAATAGTCAAGAATTGAGCATATAAATAATTCAGGGGATATCTCCTGCTTTTGTCTTATTTGTGCTATTGTTTCCCACCTTTAGTATGATAGAAGTCTGAAAGGAAGATGAATAAATGAAGTAGAAATCCACTCTGAGTTTGTTTTGATCTTTAGGCCTGAATGAGCCTGGCAGAGGATTGTGAAGGACAGAAGAGAATTGATTGTTGTATAAGAAGTGGGAAGTTGTTAGGGCATATGAAGTGATTTATAAAAATAAGAGGAAGAAAATGAAAAGAAGATGAGTATTACTTAGATGCATTTCATAGTGCCCCTTTTCAAAAATAGACCTTTGATTCTTTTTTACATTTTTCTTTTTACCTTCATTCCTTCTAGCTCTGACAGTGCGGAATGGTGGTAATGTACTGGTCCCCTGCTACCCATCTGGAGTGATCTATGACCTCTTGGAATGCCTCTATCAGTACATCGACTCAGCCGGCCTTTCAAACATCCCTTTCTACTTCATCTCTCCTGTTGCCAACAGCTCACTTGAGTTTGCCCAGATTTTTGCTGAATGGTATGTGTCATTATTCATCCTCCTTATGGGTTGGTACCTATCTCTTAGGGAGAATGGATTTTTAAAAAGGCAAAGTTTCTCCCAGGCAAATGTGAGGTATTAACTTGGCTATAGGGCCACTCCCTTGAGGGCAAATGCTTAGTGTATTCATGTCTAACAATACAAACAACCATGTTAACATTTGACCAGTAGTGACTGAGCCACCCCTAACAAAATTGGCAAATCTCGCAACTAAATTCATTTACACTTGTAGAGAGCTTCAAGTTACTGATCACCTGAAAAATTATTTCAGAAACCATCTAAATAAAAAACAGTGTGATTTAGTTTTTTCTCTAAAGATGGCAGGATCATCACTATCAACTATAAATAGGCTTTTTCATGTTGCTTAGAACTTATAACATTTAGCCACCAGGAAAATATATCTTTGTAGAAACAAACAAGCAAATGGGATTTAGAGGTCCTTTTTTTTTTTTTTAAAGAAAGAAAAATGCAAAATGTTTTACTCTTCTTCCTTTTGAGAATGAGAAAATTAATATTTTTCAACAAATGCTATTAATAGGAAAAAAATATACTTAAATTGTTAGATTAATTATTTTTATCATGGAGAAAAATAAAGGAAAGAAAAGAAAAAAATAGGATACAGTGATGATAGTTAAGGCAAATGCACACAGAGATGAAGACAGAAAAAGGAAAGTTAGAGGAAGACAGGTAAGTTGCAATGTGGTAGCCTAGAAAGAGTGACTGATTTGGTAGTCAGAAGGCCTCAATTCAAATCTTGGCTCTGCCCCTGAGAACCTTGCTTCAATTCCCGTTCTGTAAAATAAAAGGATCAGACTAGATTGCTCCAAAGTCCTTTCAGCTCAAAATCTATGATCCTACAATATTAAAGGCAGACAACTCATTTGTTGCTACTACTTTTGTGAGGAAGAAAAGCAGCCATTTTTATTTTTAAAGGGGTAAATATTACCACAATTTGTTATAAAAATTATTTTAATTTCTGAATAACAAGTGGTTTTTTTAAGGTCTCTCTCATTTTCTGAAAAAGGAAAACCTAAGTTTCCTGCTTGAAAAAAATAAGGAAAATTGATTATTATTTTACTGAGAAATTCTAATTAAAAAATTATTGTGTTTGTTAAAGCCTTTTTTAACCATGATACACTTTACTTGTGATGGGAGTCATTTATTGGTGTTTACTCAGTTAGTAGGATGGATTAAACCATGCTCAGAACTAGAGGTCCCCTACTCCTGTCCTTGTAATGTTTGAGTGTGCCAAGTGTGTGTCTATAGAATTATCTATATTGGAAGAATTTCCCTTATTAAATAACAAAGCATTTGCTGAAGATTTGCTGCAACTTACATTTGCATGTACCATTTGCAAACCATCATACCATTTTCTTTTTTTAATAGATATATGGGTATAATTGAGCATTGTGTCCTTTTCTGATTATGTTGTTCTTTCTTTCCTTTTGTCAAAATTGAAACCTGCTCTCCTTTTTTCTGAAAAGAGAAAAAGAAGACACCAAAAGCCTTTGTCTTTCTGCAATCTTAGATCTTAAAACACAGAACTAGAAGCTTCGCAATCATTTAATCCAACCCTCTTATTTTACTTTTCTTGTTAGTTTTCCCTCACTTTATCAGAGAATGCAGTTTTCTCTGGTTCTTCCCAGAAATATATTTTAAGATATTTATTGTTTCTTCCATCTTTAATAGTTTCATTGCCTTGACAGCCTTACCATTTGTAATCTTGCTGCTACATAGTCATGGTTTTTTTTTATATTCCTCTTTAGTTTTCTGCCCTAATTTCCCCTTTTTATGCTTTTTTCCTTTTTCCTTTTGTTCTGCTGTTCTGTAGAGAACTCTGGATTCAGCCAACTTGGTTTCTTTTTATAATTGTATAGTTTGTTCCTGAATATGCAGAGCTTTCCTTCTTCAGCAATATCCAAGACTTGAATTGTTTGCCTCTTAGAATTCCTTTCTAGGAGGTTCTTCCTATTATTGCCATGAGCCTGATAAAATTTGTCATCCTCTTAATGTAATTGAATTTTGTCATTGGACCTTGACTTCATTCATTTTGCTTTTCTCCCCAAGTTTTCCACCTCCTATTTACATAATAGTTGCTTAATCAATGCTTATCAAATTCAGTTGAATTCAGTGCATATCACCACATACCCCCAAATGAAGTTTACACTACAGAAAGAAACTGCTTTTTTACATGTATGCATTTCAGGGTGGAAAAAGTCAAGAAAAAAATTTCTTCCATAATCACAGTATGTTAGTACCAGAGAAATGTTCAAAATCATCTATCTAGTCCAAGGTTCTTAACCCTTTTTGTATCATCAGTTGTTTTGGCAGTCTCAGGAAGCCTTTGAGGCTTAAAAATTTATACAATAAGGTAAATAGGATTGCAAAGAAAACTAATTATATTGAAATACAATTATCAAAATATTAAATTTTTTAAAAGTTCATGTATCTCAGAGTAAGAATCCATGATCTGGTCCATTCACACCAACTTTTGTTTCTACTTTGAAACAACATCCATGGCTCCTCTAAGTTGAATGTACTTTACTTTCATCAGGGTATGGGAAGAGTTAATTGTGTGGGTTGAAGGAAGGGAAGACTTAGGTAGTTCGCTTCTCCATTGCTTTTTATCCATCCCCATCCTTATCTTATTCTCACTCCTTCCACCTTCCCTGAGAACCTGGTCATAGTACAGAAGGTGGTTGTTCAGGTATTTTCAGTGCTTTGTGTAAGTGAAAGTAGTGGGCCTGGGTCTTGGCATCTGCCAAGGCATTATCCTTATCCAAAGTGTTTTATTTAAGTCACATTCCTAAAACTTGAAAGGAAATAAATTAATCAGTGTAAGTAACCCCTTTTCTATTAATACTAACAATTTAGTATTCCCTCTCCTTACATTATTCTTCTCTCTTCTCAGGTGGGAAACCACAAAAAGAAACTTATAGTCCAGAAAACGAAGATAAACATAAAGAAATATAACTGGATTGGGGAAAGATTAGAAATGACAAAGCTGGAAAGGAGATGTAACTAGTAAAAACATTTTCAAGAGAAAAAAAAATCTTCCAGTAGGTTTGGTAAAAGAAGAGAATCAGAAAATTCCATTCCCCAACAGAGAAAAAACTAACATGTAGCTAAAGCCATCATGCCTAAATAGAAAGAAACTGCTTTTGAAACATGGAGAGATGTTAGCTCCAGATTTTAATTAGTGATTAACCAGTGATTGCTGTATGATTTTGAGCAAATCAGTAGATTTGATTTGAGAAAATATGGGTAAGGTTCTCAGAGGTTCTCAGTACCATGGGTGGCAGAATGGTGAGGAAGCACTATGTGGTCTATGACTATTTTTGCTGATTAACCTTCCCACCCACCATTCTAGATACCTGAACAACCACCTTCTTCCTTCCCCAAAAATTACCTTGCAGATATCAGTAAGAAAGAAACCGAATAAATCTGGTAAATATTACACATGGACAAGCATCAGATCAAGAGAAGTATCTTCACGTGGTCCTTTTTTTTCTTGCTAAAGGATAGCCAGCATTTTTAGACTCCTTATTTTCACAGTCTTTCATTTCATCATCTCCTGATGCAAGAACTATCTCTTCTAGTGAGTTCAACATAACATATTATTTCCTGATCTTATAAGAAGCAGGTAAATAGCAGAGTGTTTAGATAAGAGTGTGGGGCGTGAAGCTGAGTTGAAATCCTGCCTCAGACACCTTTACTAGCTCTGAATCTGGATACGTTGCTTGATCTTTGTGTGCCTCAGTTTCCTCATCTGTAAAAGGATAATAATAGTATCTACCTCCCAGAGTTGTTATGAGGTTAAAATGAGACAAAATTTGCAAAGTGCTTTATAAACCTTAAAGTGCTGTATAAATGCTGCTTAGTAGTAATAGTAGTAGTAGCCAAATAATGGCATAGGAAGGGAGCACTAGGTGCTTCTCAGAATCATTGATTTACAGCTGGAAGAGACCTTAGAAATCGCTCATGACCTCCACTCATGTGCCCTTTCATAAAACATTCTTTCCTTCTTTTAGCTCTTAAGAATTTGTGACATCTTTTGACTTATCCAGCTGATGAATTTTTTATCTGCTTCAGGGCAGAGGTAGCTCTTTCACATCCCCAAAGGGAACTAACTAAACACTTAGTCACTGGGAGGAAAACTATCCCATATTCCCTACAGATCCCTGCATGCTTCGGAGCACCAAGAGGCACTAGATTGTCAGCTCCTTGAGAGTAAGAACAATGCCTTATTTACCTTTTTACCTCTCTCATCATCTAACATAGTGCTTTGTATGCTGGAGATACTGAAAAAATATTTGATGCATATAATATATATTGAAGGGAGCAGGAAGCATGGTAGGTGAGGAGGTCAATCAGCAGAAATGCTCCTGACCACCTAATGCTTCCTCACCGCTCTGCTTACTTACGAACTTAATACAACATCTTTCCTGGCAATGTAATAATAGTTCATATTTACATAGAACTTTTAGGTTTGCAAAGCCTTTTCCTACCAGTGACACTCCAGAATAGGTTGTGCATGTCCATTTTTCAAATAAGAAAACTGAGGTTTTGATCCCATAAGTGACTTGCACAAAGTCATACAGCTAATGTGTCCCAGGCAGGATTTGGACCCGTGTCTTATGACTCCACATCCATTGGTCTGTCCACTTCACACCATCCTGTGTAAATCAGGCTGCTACAACTGCCTCTTAACTTCTTTCTCTTCTTGGGCTAAAAATATTATATGTATTTGCCTGTATATATTAAAAACCCCTTCCCCCAAAATGATATTCACTAGAATTGTTGGATATCCTGCTACTATTAGTGTTTTGCTGTATTTCTTAGAATCATTACCCAGATGAGCACCAGTGATAAATCTAGTCAAATTTATTTCTTAAAATACAAAAAAAAAAATTCATCTAACCTTAGTCCTTGAAAATATCTTTTAAAATCTTGCTTGAGGGAGTCAGTAATTTCAGTTTTGTTTTGGTGAAATCGTGTTTTCTGCAAAATAAAGGTCATAGAGACTAACATGTTGATAAAAGAAGAAACAAAAATAGTTGGTTGGATTTGCTTCCTGAGTCAGCACCTTCCATACTGCCTTGGCCATAATAACTGCTTATTCAAGTCAACAAACATTTATTAATAGCATTAGCTAGTTATAGATACTACAACACATTGAGAAACTATTTTTAATCATTATGAACAAAACTGTCTATTTTTGAGGGTCATTTTTGAGGTGTATTACTTTTTTAAAAGACTTATTTCAAGAAACTAGATTCTCAGTACCCCCATGCCTTTGTTCACATAAGATTCACTGTCAAGAAAATATTTTTTAAATGGTGGAGAATCTCTTGTCTGAAGTGTCACCAGTAGGTGGCAACCAGTACCACAGAATGTATTATCAAATACACTGACATGTAACTCATTTTTTTTCTTCTTTAAAAGGCTTTGTCACAACAAACAGACCAAGGTGTATCTCCCAGAACCCCCTTTTCCTCACGCAGAGGTAAGATAACAAGGGTTGAAAAGAAACAGAGGGTAGATAATTACTCTTGGGTAGAGATGGCTATCACCCAGATGAAAATTATAGAATTGTATAAAGAGAAGGGGCGTCCATACGTTATCCTGTTGTCTTCTATAGAAGACTACAATGAAACTTCCATTCATTTGAACATATTTGGGATGCACTCTCTCCTCATTTCTGTTTCCTAACACTTGTAGCTTTGTTCAAGATTCATGCTCACTCCTTCCACAGACTGCCTTCTGTTTACTTTCGGGGTGGGGGGGGCTAAGCTTCTTGAGGGCAGAGCATGTTTCCCTTTTATCTTTGTATCTCCAACCCTCAGCATAGTGTCTTGTACATAGTCAGAATTTTACAAATATTTGTTGAATTGAATTGAAATGTAATTCTATAAAAATGATTTTTTTGTCCTAGTCTTAATGATTCATTATTTTTCCTCATTAATCCATTCCATTTTCAGACCATTGATAGTTGCAATTAAGGCTATTTAGTTCTATTTATAGAAACCAGGATTTCTAATCCTACTTTTTGTTTTTGTTTTTGTTTTTTTGCTTCAAGGCAATTAGGGTTAAGTGACTTGCCCAGGGTCACACAGCTAATAAGCGCATTAGGCTGGATTTGAACTCAGGTCCTCCTGACTCAAGGACTGGTGCTATAACTGCTGAGCCACGTAGCTGCCCCTTCTAATCCTACTTTTACTGTTAACTTCTGAGTATCCCTTCTCAGCTTGTTCAATTGACTCTTCTTTGCTATTTGCCCTCTACTTTATAGTTCTTTGTCCTACCCCTCTTCCCATTTCCCTTTGTTACTTGGCTTAAGTTGTCCTACATCATTAGTGTTTACTCAGGGCACCCCACCAAATTGCTGTTTTCATTAAACTGAGAATATTTCCATTATAGCTACTTGATATTGCCTGTGATAACTGATAAACCTTAAGCACACTTTTCTCTTTCCAAGTCCTGGTATGCACTGAATTTATGAAATGATACTCGGGAAAGATACAGTATTAAAAAGTGTATGGCAATTTTCAGTACCTTAAATGTGAAAGTGCCCAACAGATCAAGATGTAAAATATAATTTACAGATGTGAATCACGGTATCTTAGTGTGGTTGATGATTTCCTCTACCTACTTATTTTTGCAAATACATTTGAATCCAGTCCTTATTCTTTTTATATAATTCTCTGTTCCTGCAGTTTATAAATAGAAAAATGGGAGCAGTTAGGTGGCACAGTGGATAGGGTACTAGCCCCGGAGTCAGGAGGACTTTAGTTCAAGTCCCGCCTCAGACACTTGACACTAGCTGTGTGACTTTGGGCAAGACACTGAACCCCAATTGCTCCACCAAAAAGAAAGAAAGAAAGAAAGAGAAAAATGGGGTCAAAGCATAGTGACTTAAGTTAAAAGGCTCAAAGTTCCATTGCTCCCTTTGATGTACTGATGATAGCTTTTATTATCACACTTTTCAGAAGAACATTGGCAAACTAACACAGCGAGGATAAAGAAGTGTCTAGGAATCATGTAGTTTTCATTCATTCATTCAGCAAACATTTATTAAATGACCATGTGTGCAAGCCACTGTGTTATGCACTATAGGAGACAGTGATGCAGAAGACATGATCTTCCCTCAAGGAGTATATCATCCAGCAAGGGAAGTAAGATCCATATGTAAAAAACTAAAATATAAATTGGAATAGAAGTCCGTCAGAGAGGTACAGGAAGAACTAAAGAAGGTACAGAGGAGGGAAGTGCTCACTTCTAGGTGAGAGAGGATATGAAGAACGGTTAGAGAGATAGGGCTGTTTAGCTTGAAGGAGTCTTAGGACATGAAACCTCTATTCAAATAGCTCAGAGGTGGTCAGCTGGAAAATCTTTTTTTTTTTAATTAATTTATTTTGATTTATCAACAATCACTTCCATAAGCTTTTGAGTTTTAAATTTTTCTCCCCCTCCTTTTCTGCCTCCGTCCCCAAAACGGCATGCAGTATGATATAGGCTATACATATACATTCCTATAAAACATATTTTCACATTAGTGATGTTGTAAGGAAGAATTAGAACCAATAGGAGGAACCACAAGAAAGAGAAAACAAAACAAAACAGAAGAAAATAAAATAACAAATAGTATGCTTCGATCTGCATTCAAACTCCATAGTTCTTTCTTTGGATGTGGATAGCATTTTCCATCATGAGACCTTTGGAGATATCTTAGATCCTTGCATTGCTGAGAAGGGCTAAGTTTATCAACGTTAGTCATCGCACAGTGTGGCTGTTACTGTGTACAACGGTCTCCTGGTTCTGCTCACTTCACTCAGCATCAGACCATACAAGTCTTTCCATGTTTTTTTGAAGTCTACCTACTCATCATTTCTTATAGCACGGTAGTATTCCATTACGTTCATATACCACAGCTTGTTCAGCCATTCCCCAGTTGATGGGCATTCCCTCAATTTCCAGTTCTTTGCCACCACAAAAAGAGATGCTATAAATATTTTTATACATTTTTCCCATTTGTATGATCTCTTTAGCATACAGCCCTAGAAGTGCTACTTCTGGGTTAAAGAGTATGCACGTTTTTAGAGCCCTTTGGGGATAGTTCCAAATTGCTGTCCATAATGGTTGGATCATTTCACAACTCCACCAACAATGCATTAGTGTTCCAATTTTCCCACATCTTCTTCAACATTTATCATTTTCCTGTTTTGTCATGTTGGCCAATCTGATAGGTGTGATGTAGTACCTCAGAGTTATTTTGATTTGCATTTCTCTAATCAATAGTGATTTAGAGCATTTTTTCATATGACTATAGATGGCTTTAATTTTCTTTGACCATTTATAAATTGGGGAATGACTTGTATTCTTATAAATTTGACTTAATTCTCTATATATTTTAGAAATGAAGCCCTTATCAGAGACACTGGTTGTAAAAATTCTTTCCCAATTTTCTACTTCCCTCCTAATCTTGGTTGTATTGGCTTTGTTTGTGCAAAAACTTTTCAATTTAATGTAATCAAAATTATCCATTTTGCATTTCATAATT